GCAGCTGGTATCATCAGCCCTGGTCTCCAGGAAGCCCGGGCCACGGGCTCTTTCCCCGCCCCCACTCCAGCCGCAAGCATAACTGAAAGAAATAAAAGCTGTCAGGCCTGGCTCTTGCCCCTCTCATCATTTGGTTGGGGCCTGGAAAGGGTGGAAAGAGAGTCTGGTAGTCACTAGAGTTCCTCAGCCATTGCTTGCTGTCATCAATCTTGAATGACCTTCCTTATCCTTGACCTCTGTCCCTTATGCTGTCCTTTTAGCCTCTGCAAAGACTTTGAGCTATCTGGGTCTGTGATATCAAGGAATGGCACTGCTAAGGCAGGTGACAGTGTCCTTAGGTGTGGGCATCATTCTTATGAGCAGGTGCTCCATCTCCAGCCTGGCGGATTCGTTTTTCCTGCCTTCTCCACTGAACCTCCCCTCCACCTTCCTCAGGGGACTGCCTATCTGGGCACTCCACTCAGGAGCCCTTCCTGCCTTGTCTTCCCCATAGAGGGTCTGTGTGTGCTCATTTATTTAACAAATGCTTATCGAGCCAAGCATAGTTCCATGCCATGTGAATGAGACAGACAAGGTTTCTGCCTTTGGGGGCTTATGAGCTAACTGGGGAAGGAAGATAATAAATACACAAATAATAATGTCAAACACTTGCACTGTGTTTAGTCTGTGCCAGGCACTGTTCTAAGTGTCTACAAATTCTTTAAATAAATTAACAAATTTAGCCCTCACAACAGCAAAACTATGAGGTAGTAGTGTTCCCACTGTACAGCTGCAAAAACCAAAGCACAGAGGTTACGTGACTTGTTCATAGCTAATAAGTAGAGAAGCCCGGATTACAAACCCAGGCAATATGGGTGTATTGTCTATGTTCTAAACCAGGGGTTAGCAACCTACAGCCCTTCTGTGGCCAGTTTTTGGATGGCCTTCAAGCTATAATAAGAATGTTTTTTACATGTTTTTCTTTTTTCTTCTTCTTTTTTTCAATCCTTCCCTTGCTGATACATTTTTAAATGGTTGAAAAAAATCAAAGAAAGATATTTCATGACACGTAAAAATTATGTGAAATTCAAATTCCAGTGTCTATAAAATGAGGTGTTATTGAACCCAGCCACACTAATTCATGTACACATGGCTGCTTCCTGCTACAGCTGCAGAGTTGAATAGTTGCTACAGACATTGTAAGGTGCCAAAAGCCTAAAATATTTACTATCTGGTCCTTTACAGAAATAGTTTTCCAAAATCGGGTTTAAACCACTACATTATCCTGTTTCAAAAAAAGACAAACAAAAACAAAATTGGCTAGTATAAGAGAGAAAAGTGCTGTGAATGTATCAAAACAGGGTGACTAGTAATAGAGAGACTTGGAGGGAGGTACTTTATAAAGGATAATGGAGAAAGTTCTCTGAAGAGGTGACATTTGAGCTGAGAACCTAATGACAACACTCAGGGGAAGGGCATTTCAGGGAAAGGGATTAGCAAGGGCAAAAACTCTGAGGCAGGAATGCACTTGACAACTTTGAGAAACAAATGGAAAGCCCAAGCATTTGCAAGTGTAATGAATGAGGGAGAAAGCAGTAAGAAGTGAACTTGAAGGGGAGACAGCTGTCAGGCAGGCCCTGAAGAAAAATCCCGTTGGATTTCATTCTAAGGACAACAAGAAGCTGAGAAATGGTTTTAAGCAAGAGAGAAGCATGAAGCCCCTGTTCTGTGAGAGTAGATTATAGAAGAATGGAGTCCGCAGCAGGGGTCCAGGAGAGAGCCCACTGGGGCTTGGATAGGGATGGTGCCAGCTCTGAGTGTTGTTGCAGGGGCCAGGGGGTGCCCGTGGAGCCAGGAGCCCATGCTGGCAAGGCTAGGAAAGAGAGGCCAGGTCTTGCCCATCTCTGAGGAAAGATGCGGAGCCCCAAGTAAGGCTTGGGGCTGAGGAGGGGAAGAGAGCGGGTGGGGAGTCAGTGGGGAGTCGGGAGGCAGGGAGACATAGGAGGCGGGAGGTGGAAGGTGGGGCGTGGAGAGGTCGGTATGGTCAGGGTGATCGGAGTACCCGGCTCCCGGGGGCGGGGCGGAGGCAGTGGGCGGAGTCTAGAGGCGGGGTGGGGCAAACGCTCCTCTCGGGCTCGGGGGGTGGGGCCGCGCCTCGGCCGCCCGCCGCGGCTCCGCCCCGCCCCCTGGGTGGCCCCGCCTCCTCAGTTCTCCACTCCCCGCTGCCCAGGAAGGCGGTGCGGGCTGCGAGCGCTGCTTTCGCTTTCCCTTCCCCGTGCCCACTCCTCGCTCCTCGCACGGCGCCAGGCCCCCCGCCCGGCCATGGCCACGCTCAGGGTCCAGCCTGAGGCCCAAGCCAAGGTGAGCGCTGCGGGTTCTAGGCAGGGTCCCGGGGAGGCGTGGCTCAGAGAGACTGAGGGCATCCCTGGCCCGCCCCCAGATCCCGACCCCAGTGGGGGTCAGTCAGCAGAGCCTGCCGGCGGGGCGCACCTGATCCCCCGGGAGACCGGCCGGGGCTGCCTGCGCGGAGAGGCGCGGCGGCCGTGGTTCAGCGGGGTGAGGTGAAGCAGAGAGCTGGCGTGGAGGGGAAGTCCGTTGGCCCGGGACCGGGCCACACACAGACTGGGTGTGGGACCTGCCCCAGCCACCTCGCAGCCTTTCCTGCAGGAAGGTCCCGGGCCCGCTCCACAGGGTAGCCCGACCCTGCCCCACTAGCAGAGAGGGCTGTCCTCTCACAGCCTCTCCTCACACAGTCCAGGCGACCCCAGGAATCCGTTCTCACTCAAGCCACTCACCCTTCAAAGCCAAGAATGTACTCATCCCCCAAATCCAACCCCACGGGCATCCACTGCACCCTCCCCAGATCCAGGTCTGCAGAGATCCACTCCAACACCATCCCAACCCACCCTTGCAGGGATCTATCTTGGCTTCTTCAGGTCTGGCCTTAGGGGGATCCACCTCACCTTTCCCCCCAGGCCAGGCCCCACACAACCCTAAGGGAACTGTCCTCAAATGAACTGGCCTTAAAGCTAAGTTTCTGAAGGGTTGCCTATGCCCAACAGGTGGATGTGTTTCGTGAAGACCTGTGTACCAAGGTAAGACCTGCCCCATCAGTACCTACACCCCCACCCAACTTTTACTGCTCAGCCCTTGCCTCACTGCCTAGGAAGGGTATTTGGTTCTGACCTCCATCCTTCTCCACTTCACACAGACAGAGAACCTGCTTGGGAGCTATTTCCCCAAGAAGATTTCTGAGTTGGATGCATTTTTAAAGGTACTGGGGCCCAGCAGGGAGCTGGAGAGTTTGGTGGACCTAGAGAGTGAGGAGGTCAGAGGAACATCCTTAGCTTCTGCCCTCCTCCCACCCAACACCAGGAACCAGCTCTCAATGAAGCCAACCTGAGCAATTTGAAGGCCCCCTTAGACATCCCAGTGCCTGATCCAGTTAAGGAGAAAGAGAAGGAGGAGCGGAAAAAACAGCAGGAGGTAAGTCTGGAAGACCTGGGAGGAGGGATCCAACCATGGGGAAAATTAGCTGTAGTCCTGACTCCCATGGACCCATCTCTCCCTGCAGAAGGAAGACAAGGATGAAAAGAAGAAAGGAGAAGATGAAGACAAAGGTACTTGAAACCACTATGGTGGGAAGAGACTTGAGTCCCACCCCACAGGAGCTTCTCCCTAGGGAGTCCTTTGCACTCTCCCCTTCAGCACCTCTCACACAGGCTGAATCATGTGACTGACCCATTGCCCACTCTCTAGGTCCTCCCTGTGGCCCAGTGAACTGCAATGAGAAGATCGTGGTTCTCTTGCAGCGCTTGAAGCCTGAGATCAAGGATGTCATTGAGCAGCTCAACCTGGTGAGCCCTCCCACTTCAACCCTCAGGCTTTTTAGGTCAAACACTTTGTCTTCTTGGTCCCTGCTAGTTAAGGTTTGGCACTTGCCAGGTCTTAGCAAGAGAGGGCACAGCAAGTGAAGACAGAAGTCTCGGCCCTGAGGCTCAAGATGGACCTGGCACACCTCCACCAAATGTGGGCAGGGAAGCAAGGGAGGATAGGAACCTGAGAATTGGGTGGAGGGTTGATGTGGCTTTGATGCCATTTTCTCCCCCCACCCCCAGGTCACCACCTGGTTGCAGCTGCAGATACCTCGGATTGAGGATGGGAACAATTTTGGAGTGGCTGTCCAGGTGAGAGCACTGCCCCACTCCCCCACCCTCCTTTCTAGTCCATGCTTCCTTCCACTTTCCCCCTTGCTTTCTTTCCCCAGGAGAAAGTGTTTGAATTGATGACCAGCCTCCACACGAAGCTAGAAGGCTTCCACACGCAAATCTCTAAGTGAGTGACTGATCACCCACACTCTGGGCTCCCTTCTTCTTCTTGCACTCCATACACACTTCTACTTCCCACAGGTATTTCTCTGAGCGAGGTGATGCAGTGGCCAAAGCAGCCAAGCAGCCCCATGTGGTAGGTGAGGGCCAGGTTCGGGTGCATGGGGAAAGGACACATGTGAAGTCAGGCATGACCTGAGTTTCCCACAGGGTGATTATCGGCAGCTGGTGCACGAGCTGGATGAGGCAGAGTACCGGGACATCCGATTGATGGTCATGGAGATCCGTAATGCTTATGTGAGGAGGCGAGGGCAGGGGTGGGCAGAGGCAGCTTTCCCAGGTCACCCACTCCCTGGCCCTGCAGGCTGGGGGTGAAGGGTGACAAAGCTCGGTCTCTGCACAAGGCTAGAAATGGGCCACAGAGCCACTGGGGGCCTGAGGCTGACCCCTACTCCTCCCTGGTCTTCTAGGCTGTGTTGTATGACATTATCCTGAAGAACTTCGAGAAGCTCAAGAAGCCCAGGGGAGAAACAAAGGGAATGATCTATTGAGAGCCTCCTCTTATTCTGTGATGGATACAGCACAGACCTTCTTGTTTTTTATCAGGGACTCCAGACTTTTCCCTACCTTTCTACTGTTGAGATTTTTTACTCACCTTGCCTCCCAGGCACAATAAATATAGTGATACTGTGACCCATCAGCCCAAGTCTCTTTATTGGATCCTGACACCCCTGTCCCTGGCTCAGGCATTTCCACTGGTGGGACCAACCCACTGGGTGATTTGGGTATTGAGCTGCTGGTTGGTCCAGTCCTGCCGGATGTCGTCAAGGTGGCAGTCAAAGTCCACAAGATGCTGGTGTGCCTGGCCCTCCAGTAGTGCTCCCACCATCTGCCGTGACTCTTCCCAGGCCCTCCACATCACTCTGAAATAATAACCCCCATGGAGGTCAAACAGCAGACAGAGGGTACAGACACATACTTAACAGAGATCAGGTCTGGAGAAGGACCCTTGGGGCAGGAACAAGGACAGAAGAGGCCCAGGAGCCTTGGGCTTTCAAGAAAAGGTGGAGGGAGTGGGGCACTCACAAGTTCTTGTCCTTGGGGACCCAGTGAAGACCTTGGTTCTCCAGGACAATGACTGGGGGCACACGAGGCTGAGGCACCAGTTTCTGATTATCCAACTGGGTGGACAAAGAAGGGCAGGTGAAAGTCTCAAAGATTCCCCTCTCTACTTTCTCTCCACCTCTCCACCCTAAAACCCAAGCCTCACCATAATAAGTACTGCATCAGGGAAGAATTCTGCAATTCGTCCAGCGATTTTCAAGGCCAGGGGCCCAGGGCTGTGTAGAAGGAAGATCAGAGGAGTGAGGAGCCGACTGTGGGCAAAACCCGTCCATTTGAGCTGGGCCTCCCAGGTCTCATAGATGTGGGTGCAGCTGTGGCCTTTCCCTGTAGCTGGCCTGGGGGGGTCTCGCCTGCTGGATGCTTGATGCACAACTGCTTGATGCTTGAGTGTTGTGGGAAACAGATGCTCTGACACTGCTGGTGAGAGTGGAAATCAAAGGTGGTCTTTTTGGAGGGCAATTTGGCATAACCATCCAAATTGAAACTATACTATATACAGGCTGACCCAGAATTTCCACTGATAAAGAATTTACTATTAATATGATAATAATAGGACAGTGTCCATAATAAAAAGTTGGCAACAATCTCAATGTTTAATGTAGGCATTAAATAAATTATACTACACCCATATTCATACTATATAGCTGTTAGGGAAGGCAGCTCTTGGTGTGGAAATGGAAAGATGGCAAATATTTATATTTATTAAGAAAGAGAAGCAAATTACAAAACAGTATTTCTAACTTGATTCATATATATTATATATATGTAAAGAAATTTCCTTATTTCTAAAATTGCTGGTTGGGCTCTGTGTTCTTTCAGCACTTGGGGGACACCTCAGTTAAAGCAAGATCAGCCTGTTGTTGATACACAATTGTCCTCCCCACCCTCACTGCAGTTCCTCCAGAGCAGGGCTCTGTCCTATTCATTTTTGTATTTCCTCACTCCAGTATCCAGCATAGTGCCTGGTGGACACCCCTGCTCCTAAGCCTTTGATGGAGGAAAGATGAAAGCAATGACCTTGGTTCTCTTGCACGCCCCCACCACTCCCTTCCCCTGCCCCAGCCAAAATCCTTTGCCTTCCGCCTCTGGCTACTCCACTCACCTCTGGTCGTCCAGAGCTGCATTGGCATGGTAGTACCCAGCCACCACCAGACCGGCTTGTGTGCCCCACACATCCACCTGTCGTGGGAAACGGGCCATCAGTAACTAAATCGTGCCGCTAGCCTTGGTGCGCGCTGCTGTCAAGGGGATGGGGATGGACTTTGGGCTAGGGATGTTAGGGGGTTGCGAGTGGGCGTCCAACCGGGGCACCTGGTTGAGGGCGACCTCCAACATGACGGACAGGGCTAGGTGGCTGTGGAAGAGGGGCACACAGTCGGTGAGGCAGAGGCATTCTCCGGGCCGCGGCGCTGGCGCCAGCAACAGCCCGTTGACCGCCGCGTGTGGGTACCGGGCGGCGTGCAGGCACATCTTCACGTAGGCCCGGGCCGAGATCTCCACTTCCCCCATGGCGAGCCGGGCCTGCTGGGAAGCAGCAAGCCCGATTAGTTGCGGTTCCCCACCCAGCTCAGGCGAGCCGGTCCCAGCTCGCGTTCGTGTAGCTCCCTCCAGCGCTCAGCGCCCTCCTTGGCCCATCCGGGTGCCCCCTCACTTAGGTTCAGCGGCGACGCTAACTCGGCTCTAAGGCGGCCCGCCGGCTTCGGGCGACCTAGGTCCCAGAGCCCTCCCCCGGCCTGGCCCAGAAGGAGGTTCAGATTGCATCCCGCGGCACCGAGCGCCGCCTCCCCTCGCCCCTAGCGGGCAGCAGCAGATCCCCGCCTGTCGGGGAGACCCGGAGACTGCAGCTCCCAGCCGGACGGTTCCCGGAGTCCCGCCCACGTAGTGCTCCTTGATAGGTCTAAAGGTTCTCGTTTTCTCCCATCAGTGGCCGCGTCCAAACCTTGCCCCGCCTTTGTCTCCAGCGAACTGGAAAGAACCCGCAACTGCAAAGGAAAATTGTCCGCACTCTCATTGGCTAGGCTACCCGACTTCCAGTCTTGATTGCAGGTTGGCTTTGCCTGTCACCTGTGTTGCCCGCCACCACAGGCCCCGCGGAGCCCTGGGAATGGAGAGCTTGCCAGCAGTTGGGTGTCCTGAAGCACTGGGGACAAAGTAGATAGCCTTGCTCCTTTTATGGAATGAGAGGATCTGTACTCTCGATCTCCTTTGTTATTTACTGAGCCGTGTTACCTTCAAGGCCGCAGGTTATCTGGCTCCTGGTTTCTTTAATGTAGTATCTGCTACCCATGGCCCTTTAAGGATTGAATGAGATATGTATAGGGACAGGCTTCCAAACTGTCAAGTACTATGCTGCAAATTCTTTTTTTTCTTTTTTAATTGTTTATTTTTCCACATCAACAGCGGCAAAATTTTTCATTTTAAAAGAGGATAAGAGGCCGGGCGCGGTGGCTCACGCCTGTAATCCCAACTCTCTGGGAGGCCGAGGCAGGCGGATTGCTCGAGGTCAGGAGTTAGAAACCAGCCTGAGCGAGAGCGAGACCCAGTCACTACTATAAATAGAAACAAATTAATTGGCCAACTATATATATAGAAAAAATTAGCGGGGCATGGTGGTGCATGCCTGTAGTCCCAGCTACTCGGGAGGCTGAGGCAGAAGGATTGCTTGAGCCCAGGAGTTTGAGGTTGGTGTGAGCTAGGCTGACGCCACGGTACTCACTCTAGCCTGGGCAACAAAGCGAGACTCTGTCTCAAAAAAAAAAAAAAAAAGAGGATAAGGCCCCGAATTGAAGAAAAATCTCATAGAATTTATAGTAAAGACCACAGCAGAGGAACTCTTATCTCTACTACCTGCCCAGGGCTGAATCCTGAAAGGCAGAGATAAAGACAGTGATTGACTCAAGAAGAGGGAAAAAAGGACAAAAACAAAAACTTACAGATTCATCCTTCCCATAATGTCCTGTGGTATAATCCCTTCACCACAATGCCTTGGGTGCATTTTCCCCCCTCCCAGCCCTTGAGAAGGAGTCCAACCATTCCTCCATACTCCACCAAGCAAAACCTCATTCTGCCTCTAAGCTTGAAGGATTGTTCCTTTCTTCAGTCCCCTTCAGCCACAGAGCTTTCTCCTCCTCTATCCAAAGCCTGATTATTCCCAAAAGGACTCTGCCCAAATGCCACCTCTTTCATGAAGAACTCATGAAACCACCAATGGAAATAATGTTGTGAAATTCCAAAATACAGGTTATCTGCATGGCTGTCATGGCCTGTAACAGTTCCCACCCTGTTCCTTAGTTAGACCTCTTAAGATCAGGATGGGCATCTAATTCATCTTTGTCTTCCTGGCATCCCTGCCCCATCCCACCACCACATTCATCGTCAGTGTCTCGACATAGGTGGCACTCAGTAAATGCTTTTTGAATGAATGGCACACACCAGAGGTAATCCAAAGTACAGGTCATTTATTTTCCTTCTAGCTGCGGGCTCAGTACATAGATGGCTTCTCTTCGCCCTTTGGATTGACAATTTTCTCCAGGTTGCTGCTGATGATATGATAAAGCTCAGCCTGAGAGAAGGCCAGAGAGTAAAAGTCAGGTTATGGCCTCTCCCTGCTATGTACCTTCCTTAAGGGCTTACTCCATACTCACATAGAACGCCCTCAGGTCCAGCACCATGGCCCTGAGCTCCCCATAGGCTGCCTCATCTCGCTCGTGCACCAAGGCCCGGTAATCCATCTGGCATACGGGAGGCAAAGCTAAGTCAGCCCCAAGGGAGCTTGGGACATTAGTCTGGTTTCCTTATATAGGGGATGGGTTAACTTGAGGATAAACCCCTTCTCAGTACTAAGAAATGGGGTCCCAAAAGATTGAACAGAAGAAGGGGTCGAGGTTGTTGAAGCCCAACTCAGTTTTTCTAGGCAACAATTTTGGCTTCATATTCTCCACATTGGGAAGGTCTTACAAGGACCTCTTCCCCGCCACCCACCCCACCTCCAGCCAGTTAAAAAGCTGGTAGACTATCTACTCACTACATGGGTCTCCTTGGAGGCCTTGGCCACAGCATCCCCACGTTCTGAGAAGTACCTGCCAGAAGCAAAGGGAATACCACAAGAGTGTTCAGAGAGATGTATTCCCTCAGACCCTTTGCACAAAGAAATGGCTCTATCACCCCCCTTGTTGGTCCTCCAGCTGCCCTCACTTGGAAATGGTTGTCTGGAAAGCTTCCACTTTGGTCTTAACTGCATTCACCCTCTCCAGCACCTTCTCCTGTAGTGACATGGGCGGTAAAGAAAACATTTCATTTCTTCCCTCCTTCACTCACTAGCTCCCTCTCCTCCCAGCTCATGTCTAGCTCCTATCTCTCATTCCCCAAGTCTCTCTCAACTCTCGGTATCCTCAGTCATCCCCCTTTATCTTTTGGTTTTTATTGTAGAGACAGGGTCTTTCTCCATCTCCCAGGTGGGAGTGCAGCGGCACAATCATAGCTCACTGCAGCTTTGAGTTCCTGGGCTCAGGTGATCCTCCTACCTCATCCTCCTGAGTAGGTAGAATTACAGGTGCCTGCCATCATGCCTGGCTCATTTTTTTTTTTAATTAATTAATTTTTTTGAGACATTCTCACTCTATTGCCTGGGCTAGAGTGCCGTGGCATCAGCCTAGCTCACAGCAACTTCAAACTCCTGGGCTCAAGTGATCTTTCTGGCCTAGCTCATTTTTAAAAAATTTTTTGTAGAGATGGGGGGGGGGCGGGTCTCACTATGTTGCAAAGGCTGGTCTAGAACTCCTGGTCTCAAGCGATCCTTTTGCCTTGGCCTCTCAAAGTGCTGGGATTACAGGCATGAGCCACCACATTTGGCCTCAGTCACCCTTTTCTTACCTGGATTGCTACCCCAAAATCATTTCCATCCTCAATCTTGGGGATCAGGTGCTGGATCCATGTGATCACCTATATTAAGAGGTATCACGTAAGAATAATTCAACAAACCTACTGGGTTCTTTTTATTACTGCCTCTTCTTAATTAATAATAGCTAATAGAACACTTATATACCAGGCACTGTGCTAGATTTATCTCAATCATCACAGCAACCTTCCAATGTATATATTCTTATTGTATCCATTTAACAGATTAAAAAAATAGAGTCATAGAATGTCTAAATGTCTTACTTAAGGTTACCAGTCTCTCTCCAGGGTCTGTACTTTTAAATCAACTCACTATACCATACATACCACCTCCACTGTACTGTGTATCTGATACAGCAGTAGGGTCTAAGGCTATAGAGATAGATACAGTACACTCTGATTTCAGGGCTACCATTGTGATATCAGAGGTCTAATAGAATGATAAAACAAATGGGATCTAAACCCAAGGCACAGAAAGAAGTTTCCTTTTTCAGGACTAGGTATCTGAATGAAGGATTTACATCTCTGAAGGAGACCAAGGCCTGGCCTCATCATCTTTTCTTTCCACTTCCCCAATTCCCAGGCTTACCAGAATGCACTTCTCTTTGAGAGTCCAGACTTCTGGCTTAACCAGGGCAAGCAGGGACAGGACTTTCTCATTCCCAGGGAGAAATCCACACTTAGGGACTGTGAGAAAGAGGGGATTCAGGTCCTTTCTCATGTAGCAGTAATGTGCCATTTCCCCTTCCCTAGTCACCCCTTTCTCCCTTACCTTCTTTCTTCTCCTGCTTATCTGTTTCCATCTAAGGCAAAGAGGGGAAAGTAGCCTTTAGAAAAGTCAAAGAGGATGAAGGGCTATCACCTCCATTAGGTTTATAGTCTGAGCTCTGCCCCCTGAGTACCTTACCTCATCATCTTTTGGTGGGGGGTCTGGGATGGGGATGTCCAGTGGGGCCCGGAGGGAGGACAGGTCAGCCACATTGAGGGAGTCCTCCTGCACAGAGCTCACAGTCAGGGGCTGCCCAGCCTCTTCCCTTCACCCTGAGTCACAGCCTTCCCTCCACACATCCCTGCCCTCTGCTGCCCAACCCAGGCTCAGGCCTCACGCCTCACACCATCCTAATGTTCCCAATCCACCATTCACAACTATTCTTTGTGTGCTGAGCCCAGCTGTTAGCTAGAGGTTGGGTGGAGGGGAGAGAGGACATGGATGGAGCAGGAGGGGCCCACACTACTCACCTGCAAGAGCTGATTCAGGTATATGATTTTCTGTGGCAAGAATCTGTACAGGAATTCCTCAGCCTGTGGGTTACATTATGAGGGTGGGGAAATCACAGAAGACATTCAATGAGATGTCTGAGAATTGGCACTGGAGGGCCCTTATAAATCACTGAGTCCAAGACTTACAAATGAGGAAACTGAAGCCCTGAAAACGAAGGGACTTGCCCACGCTAGTAAGTGGCAGAACCAAGGTTAGGACAGTGGTATTCCTGCTTTAGGGGCCATGGCTTTTCACTTCACATCAAAAGAGGGGAGATGAAGTGCCAGAGGGGAGAGAGTCCAAAGAGGCGCCATTTAAAGGTAGGTATCAGTAATTAGGAGCTCACCTTGGGTGAAGGCTTGGTAAGGGAAATAGGGACAAAGTCCAGAGTGGGTCTGGGAGTCACTCTGAGAGGTTGTGACCCTCAAGTATTGGTCTAAGAGTCTGGGTCAAATTGCTTGAATCAAAAAAGAGACTTACCTCCTGGAAAAGATTTTGCCTGAAGACATCCACCTACACAGACAGCAGTACCCGGATGTTGGTTAAGGGTCTAAGATATCAAGCATAAGAACCCATCCCAACTGAGTGCCTTCCAACTGTGGTTCAGGCCTTTCCTCCACAAGCCAGTTTTCCCTCAAAGCCCCCACTCAGTGCAGAGACTGGTTAAAGGGCAGGAATCTGGAATTCCCCGGGCTGAAGTGAAAGCTCTAAAGACCGGTTGGGGGAGTTCTCTGGCTCAGTCTTGATCTCCTGAAGCATGCAACTCAGCCTCCATCCAGGAGTGTTTCCCGGACCCTTCCTGGCCTCCAGCTCCCCGTTACCTGTTTGCGGGCCTCCCCACTCAGGCGCACTCCACAAGTCTTGGCCATGCTGCTCCAGTTGCCAGACCTCTGGTCTCTCAGCTAGCCGCCCAGGCTTTCGCTTTCACTCCCCAGGTCCAGGCCCACCCCCGTCAACCCCGCCCCCGTCAACCCCGCCCCCTTTCCTTTTTTCCTTCCCCCTCCCCCTGGCAGGCCGCAAACAGTAGGTAGCCCCTCAGCCATTCCCAGCCATTAGCCACCAGGAGAGGCGGTGCCCGCTGGGTCATAAGCCCAGGGGTTGTCCGAGGGAGGGGCTAAGGTGAGCGGGATCGCTGAGACAGGAACGGGGGCTGTCCCTCGGCGAGAGGGCGGGGCTTATAGCGAGAGCCCAGGGGAAGTCCGGGGTTGGGGGGAGAGGGGTGGGAGAATGGGAAAGGAGGTATCCAGTGGTGGGGTTCCCCTGAGAAGGCTCGACCGTGAGGAGGGGACGGAGAGGGATCAGAGCGAGTGGAATGGGTAGTAAGAGGGAGACCCTGGGGCGGAGAAGGGGTGGAAGAGAAGCTGGCGGCGGGGGACTTTCCCCTGCCTTCAGGACAGACCAGAGAGGGGGCGGGACTCGCTTGAGTGGGCCTAGGGCTGGCCAGAGTTGGGACTCTGGCAAGCGAGGGACTTTCCCAGAGAGGACCTGAGCATGCCGTACTCGTCCTGATGGAAAGGGAAAGGCTTTGAGCCAAATAGGACCACTCCGCGCCTGGAGCTATCCGGAAGGGGTGGAACTAGACGGGAGGAAGGCAGGAAAGATCTCTTGAATGTAGGGAAAACGCGGGGACGCGCTGAGGGAGGAGCCAAGGGGTGTTTACCTCCTCATTGGCTGGGACCGCCTTCTTGGCCACGCCCCCGGCTTCCGGACACACTCCCCTTCCTTAAGCTTAAATCCCTCCCGTTCCTCCGAAACCGGGTCGCAGTCCCGCCCTCTTTCCTAGTACTTCCTGTTCCCGGCTAACCCTGCCCGTGGGCTGGGGGCCGGAGAGTGACCGTGGCCTGAGTGACCCGGGGCGGCTCCACGGACCGGGTCAGGTCTCAAAGCCGGACAGGCAGGAAGGGCGGGGCTCGGGGCGCGCAGCCCGCCCTGGGTCCTGGCGGGCGGCGAGACTGGGGCTGACTCCTGTCTCAGGATGCCGGTGGAGGAAGAACGGGCCTTCCTGGCGGCCCGCGAGGAGCTGGCGAGCGCCCTGAGGAGGGATTCCGGGCAGGCGTTTTCCTTGGAGCAGCTGCGGCCGCTACTGGCCACCTCCCTGCCGCCAGCCGCCCGCTACCTGCAGCTGGACGCCGCACGCCTGGTCCGCTGCAACGCTCATGGGGAGGTGAGGCCCAGCCCCGCTTGAAAGATGGACATAGGGCCTGGGGCCGGGGCGGGCTCACAATCCTCTCTCTGACTGTTCCCAGCCCCAAAACTACCTCAACACCCTGTCCACGGCTCTGAACATCCTGGAGAAATACGGCCGCAACCTCCTCAGCCCTCAGCGGCCCCGGTACTGGCGCGGGGTCAAGTTTAATAACCCTGTCTTTCGCAGCACAGTGGATGCAGTGCAGGTGAAGCCCCTGAGCCTTATGGGAAAGGGGCCTGGGACGGGGCCTGGGCTGGGGATTGGTTAGAAATGGCCTGAGGCTGTGCTGAATGGGAATGGGCGGTGACTGGTTGTGAATATGTGGTAGGGGGGCCGGGATGTGCTACGATTGTATGGCTACACGGAGGAGCAGCCAGATGGGTTGAGCTTCCCCGAAGGGCAAGAGGAGCCAGATGAACACCAGGTTGCTACAGTCACACTGGAAGTACTGCTGCTTCGGACAGAGCTCAGCCTGCTCTTGCAGGTAAGGTGTTCCTTAGTCCTGATGATTTACAGACCAGGGCTCAGGACCACAGCCTAACTCAAGTCAGTCTGAGGACCCCCATGCTGCTGAACCATGGGCATTCTGGGAGCTCCTGGTACTTGTCTTTTCTCTGTGAATGTTAAGGGATTAGGGCTTACCTGGAGGGCCTCATTCTAGGGTGCTAGATGGAAGCCCTTTTTATCTGGTTTACAGAATACTCATCCAAAACAGAGGGCACTGGAACAGCTGCTGGAAGACAACGTTGAAGATGATGTAAGGAAGGCAGGAAGGGGGCTGATGAACAAAGAGAACAGGAATTGTTGGATTCTGTCTCTCATGCCCCTTGCCCATTCCCTGCTCTTTCTTCCTTAGACGCTACAACTTTCAGAGTTTGAACCCTTACTGAGAGAGATTGCTCCTGGCCCCCTCACCACACCCTCTGCCCCAGGTATTATTGGTCCTACTTGGTGGGGGAGGGGGTGAGTAGTAGACTATATTGATGGAAATTTGGGACCTTTGTCTGTCTTCTTGGTTATCTTCTTTTGTTTTTTAAAAGAGATTAAATACCCTAAAATCAAAGTCTGGGAAATAATAAAATAAAAAAATAAATAAATAAAAGAGATTAAAATTGTTTTCTTGGGTTCAAATGTTTTGAAAAGTAGTCTTGTGATTTGCCTCCATCCATAGCAGATTCAGGTATAGCCTAGTCTTTTTTAGAAAGATGTTCTGTTCTTTCCTCTCGTGTTTGCTAGGCTCCACTCCTGGTCCCTGCTTCCTCTGTGGTTCTGCCCTAAGCACACTGCACTGTCCATCCTGTAAACAAGCCTTATGCTCAGCCTGTGACCACTTGTTCCATGGACACCCATCCCGTGCTCATCACCTCCGCCAGACCCTGCCCAGGACCCTGGTCAAGGCCACCCACCTGAGCTCCAGGTGAGATGTCTTCTCTTCTGGATGAGAATGAAATTTAGAGACCTTAAGATCATTTGATTGGCTAGGTGTGGTGGCTTACATCTGTAATCCTAGCACTCTGGGAGGCCGAGGTAGGCGGACTGTTTGAGCTTGGGAGTTCAAGGCCAGCCTGAGCAAGAGCAAGACCCCATTTCTACTTAAAAAAAGTATAAATAAATTAGCTGGACAACTAAAAATAGCCAGGCATGGTGGCGCATGCCTGTAGTCCCAGCTACTCGGGAGGCTGAGGCCGTAGGATTGCTTGAGCCCCAGGTGTTTGAGGTTGCCATGAGCTAGGCTGATGCCATGGCACTCTAGCCCAGGCAACAGAGTGAGACTCTGTATCAAAAAAAAAAAAAAAAAACAAAACACTCGATTATCTACCATATGCCAAGGTAAAGACTGTTTAATAGAGGACAAGCAACTAGTCACAGCCCTGAAGGAGATAGTAGACATACACATCAAGCAAGTAGCATTCACCATAAGACAGGTTATTATGGTGTGCAAATAGGTAGTAGGTGGATGCAACCTAGTCTAAAGGATTAGCTCAATCACTTAGGAGTATTTTTAGTACCCATACTAGGTATAGCTACCCAGAAGAAGAGAGCTTTAAGCTGCCATTTAAATGTTGCACAGGCCACGGGTATGAGAGTGCGTGAGACAGAGACAACAAGATGTGCAAGGGCCAGTGTCATGTGCCGTTACCCAGGAAATGGGGAATGCCCAGAAGTTAGGGACCCAGGTCCCAGATCCCACCTCAACAGGCCATATCTGTTTTTCCATTACAGTTTACCTGCCTCGGCCCAACCACGGCCCCAGCTGACCTCCCTGCTGGCCCTGGGAGACAGCTCTCTTTCTTCCCCTGATGCTGCAAGTGCTCGTTTGCCCTGGCACTGTACTGCCTGTGCCATGCTAAATGAGCCTTGGACAGTGCTCTGTGTGGCCTGTAATCGGCCCCGAGGCTGTAAGGGGTTGGGGCTGAGGAGCGAGGGTCCCCAAGGACCTGGGGGCTTAGAACCTGAGCTTGCACGAAGTCGGTGGGCCTGCCAGAGCTGTACCTTTGAGAATGAGGGAACAGCTGTGCTCTGTGCCATATGTGAGCGACCTCGGCTGGCCCAGCCTCCCAGCTTGGTGGTGGATTCCCGAGATGCTGGTATTTGCCTGCAGCCCCTTCAGGTAACCAGTTCCTGGCCTTCCCAGCTCTTCATTGCACATGTTACCTCAGGCCATTCTCTTCTTTCCTATCCCCCATTTTCCTTTAGTTCCCCCAGCTCCATATATTTCCGTCATAAACCTCAGCCAGCCAGTCAATGGCTTAATCCTCTCTGCCTTCCCAGCAGGGGGATACATTGCTTTCTTCTGCCCAGACTCAAGTCTGGTACTGTATTCATTGTACCTTCTGCAACTCCGGCCCTGGCTGGGTGTGTGTTATGTGCAACCGGACAAGCGGCCCCATCCCAGTACAGCATATCCCCCAGCCTCATGCCAGCTCTTTGGAAAAGGGACTCCCTAAGCCTGGGACTCCAGGATGCCTCAGTGCCCCCCTGTCCAGTTCTTGTGGAGACTCTGAGAAGCACCGACAAGACAAGATGCGGGAAGAAGGTCTCCAACTAGTGATCATGATCCGGGTGAGGATTCAGCTTGGGATCAGGTGGGGCTGAGCTGGTTGGAGAAAGGAGATGCTGTGGTTGGTTGATATTTCTTATAAAATTTGTCATTGTTAGCAGCAGCTGTCCCTTACTGAACACTTCCCACATGGCAATTACCATTTTATGCACTGATCACAGGGTCCATGTCTGAGCCCAGCCACTGTTGGCATCTCGGTTCGTCTGAGGGTGGGTGGAGGGTATCCTTCTTCATGGGCCTGATGGGTGGGACTGTGTCTTAGGAAGGGGAAGCTGCAGGTGCCTGTCCAGAGGAGGTCTTCTCCGCTCTGCAATACTCAGGCACTGAGGTGCCCCTGAAGTGGTTGCGATCAGAGCTGCCCTACGTGCTGGAGATGGTGACTGAGCTGGCTGGACAGCGGGACCCTGGGCTGGGTGCCTTTTCCTGTCAGGAGGCCCGGAAAGCCTGGCTGGATCGTCATGGCAACCTTGATGAAGCTGTGGAAGAATGCGTGAGGGCACGGCGTAGGAAGGTATCAACTGTGGTGGAGGGTGGAACAGGGTTGAGAGTCTCAGAGTCTCTTACATTCTCCTTTGCTTGCTTTTCTGTCTTCACTTACTCTGTCCACTTTCATCTTACAGGTGCAGGAGCTCCGGTCTCTGGGATTTGGGCCCGAGGAGGGGTCTCTCCAGGCATTGTTCCAGCATGGAGGTGATGTGGCACGAGCCCTGACTGAGCTACAGCGACAGCGCCTAGAGCCCTTCCGCCAGCGCCTCTGGGACAGTGGTCCTGAGCCCACCCCTTCCTGGGATGGACCAGATAAGCAGGTGCTAGGTGGAGGCGGGCTGAAGAACCAACCTAGAGGAGCAAGAGGGAAGTTGGGAATGGAAGGTCCCTGGGCTCTGACAGTGACTTCTCCTGCCTCCACCTGAATCACATTGCAGAGCCTGGTCAGACGGCTTTTGGCAGTCTACGCACTCCCCAGTTGGGGTCGGGCAGAGCTGGCACTGTCACTGCTGCAGGAGACACCTAGGAACTATGAGTTGGGGGATGTGATAGAAGCTGTGAAGCACAGCCAGGACCGGGCCTTCCTGCGCCGGTTGCTTGCCCAGGAGTGTGCTGTGTGTGGCTGGACCCTGCCCCACAACCGGGTAAGCCCCTCCTCACCATACCTGGTCCAAGAATTACTTTATTCCCTTTGGATCTCCACCCCAGTTCGTGTCTCTGGCCCTGTCTTTCTAC